CCCCAAAACCCCAAAACCCCAAAACCCCAAAACCCCTGTTAGACTGGAGGAGGTTGAATTTTATTGGATTAGTTATGATCTTTTGATTCTTCATCACCTTCAGCATCATAGTCTCCCTCTCCTTCCTCATTCTGTTCTTTAAGGAAGGTAAAGTGTGGATAGGCGATTAACAAGTTTGTTTTGTCTTGAATAAGAATAGATTTTCCATCAGAGTTCCATTGTACTTTACTCACTTTAAAATCAGGGGATGTGTCTTTTGACTTTTTACCGTAAGTAGAGTGATCGTTTTGACCTTCTAGAGGGATGTCTCATACACTAGCTCCATTTACAGACCATATGAAGATTCTAGAAGCATTTGTCGCGATAACAAGGTGGTTTGTTTTGCTTGACCAATCTATAGATTTCACTGGATCGAAATGAATCAGAACAACAGTTAGTCTTAATGAAGCGACATCCCAAATGAATACTCAGTTAGGAGTATTATCATTTTTGGTTGCAACATATTTGCTATCATAACTCCAAGCAATCAAGCTGACACCATTTCCACTAAGAGGATTATCTTTACTGGCAGATTTCTTAGACACTGTGAGCTGAACTGGTGGTTCAAGCATTTTATATCTGGAGGTAACTTCTTCTTCATAACTATAAGGCCCACCTTGCTTATACTCTTCCTCAGTATAAATGTGAATATCATCATCTTCTGAGAGATTTTTCTTGTGCTCAAAATGAGTAATCTCCTTCCATGAAATATGATTGTAGAGTCTCAGTTTCTGGTCATACAGCCCTGCTGCCAAAAATTTTCCATTTGGTGAGAACTGAAGAGTCTTGTAACCGAGAGCATTCTCATAAGGAATATGTTGAGCCAATAATCCTTGAGTAGCAGAATAAACCAAAAGTCTGCATTCAATAGGGTTATCCCAGACAATAATGGCTGTATCATCCTTGGACCATTGTAAGTCTGCTAGATCTGTTGTTTCAACTTGGAAATGGTTCATTAATTTCCAATCTCCTCAATAATAAATTCCAATAAAGTCTTTACAATCACTTCTTTCAGCCAGAGCCATAAATTTTCCATTTGAGGTGAAACTAATTCCCCTATCATGATGCTTCGGATTCTTAATATATGATACTGTTTGATCCACAAGTGACCAGATGGTTAATCTTAGCTGAAAGTCACTGATAGTTATTATTTGTCTTGAGTCAGGTACCCATCTGGCATACATGAGCCCTGCTATTCCTTCATCAATTTTACAATTCCATTCTGAGTCATCGAGACTTTTGACATAAGCTAGTCCGCGCTTATTCAAGGAAACTAATAAATATTGCCCATCTTCAGACCACTGAAGCTGAGTAATAACATCAGGGAAAGAGTACTGGACAATTATATTTAAGTTATTTGTATCATAAACTTGCACTTGCATGTGGTGAGCAATCGCTAGATTCTCTCCTTGAGATGAAAACGTAGCAAGATTGGAGTAAGGGATGAGATCTGAAAAATTCATCTTTAATTTAAATATTTCAAATTCTTTGCCTATAAATGGGGTTTTGGGGTTTTGGGGTTTTGGGGTTTTGGGGTTTTGGGGTTTTGGGG